TTAAAAAAAATATACTTGTATATATTTAGAAATAGTTCTCATATACTATCTGCTAACTAACTCAGAGTTTATCACTTACTGCAAGAGCAGCACTTGTTATTTAGAGATAGTTCTCATATGCTATTTGCTAACAAGTTCAGAGTTTATTACTCACTGCGGCAAAGCCTTCTATACTCCACTCTCCTTCTAATTAGGGTAGACACTCCTTTTTGCGAAAAATAAACACTCCTTAAGAAATAGTACAAGGGACTCCTTCTTTTTACCTTTCTCTGCTTTCCTGCCAGTCCTTCAAAATTTTCATCAAAAAGTGGGCAACTTGGTTTACCCCCTCCAAAAAATCAGCATTGTTTATACTTTCTAATTCGGATGTACTCAGTAGAATGCAACCATGTATCATGTTTGTTTACAGATACAGTGCTACCTCATGGGTTGGATCGAAGTCAGATCGGAACCTAACGGTTAAAGAGATTTCTGAAGACAGTTGGTTAGTCAAAAAGAGAAATACACATTAAGGCGATGCTTTACAAGAGAGATATACAATTGTTGTAGTTGTTATATAATTTTTATCTACCTTGTATGGGTTATAATAGTGCATTGTCACAGACTCTTCTGTTTTGTTTTTTTTAGTTGAGTTTTTACTATTTTCTAGTCTTTCGTCCTTTTTAGCTTAGTTTAGTTTTATGTTAGACTAGCCTTCTTGTCCATCATGTGGTTTTTTTTCTTTTTTGTTTTTCTTACTCTTTTTTTTCTTCTATTACTTTTGTTTTTTCTTTTAGTATCTTCATTTTCTTGATATGTTCTTTTTTTTTAAACCCCTTTTCCTTTTATTGTCCTTATTATATTCCTTGTTAGTTAAAAAAATACAAAAGAAAGAAGAAGCCATTATGGTGTGGCAATTAGGCTAGTTTAACATAAGCCTCTAATCTTAGACTTCAAATTAGTGCAGTGGGTTGCACTTGGGCACCTTTAAAGCAGCCGGGTGATGTCAGGTTTGCAAATTAAGAGTAAATGGATATTGTATATTGATAATACTTGAGATCTTAATAAAATACTGGCAAAACTGCCTAAGTTTAAAAAATAAAAAAATAAAAAAAATAAAATAAATTTAGATTATAAATATATAATTAAAATTTGTTTAAGCTAAATATATTTAGAATAATATAAAAATTGTATTATATATACTGTATTTTTTTTTAGTATTAAGATGATCTCTTTGGCTTAGTAAATCTTTATTAAATATATTAGACATTTATACAATTACAACAAAAGTACATTAAGCTATAGGCTAGAGGCAGAAAAAACTCTATAACCTACAAGTAAGGAGCCAAATTGAATATGAAGCTCTATGGAAGTCCAAGTATAGTATAGATTTGATAGGAAATTTCTAAAAAAAGATCAAACTATAGAAAGTTGGCACTATATATGATGAGCAGCAGTTATAGAAAGTTTGAAAATTAGATCATACATATAAGTTTCAGAAGATCAAAACTATAAAAAACAGACACTATATATGACAAGTAGTAGTTATAGAAGGTTTGAAGCAAATAAGTTGTATATGTAAATCTTTGAAGTACTTAGATAACACCAACAACCCAGACGGTCTAAGATTTTGATTGGGAGAGTAATACTAATATTTCAAACTGAGAGTAGTAAATGAAGCGGAGGATATAATAAAAGATTTTCTAAATAGTATCAACAACTCTAAAATAATTGAGATCTTGTCTGAAAAGATAATACTAATATCTAAACTAAAAGTAGTAAGTGAAGCGATGAATATAATAAAGATCTGTAATAAAAGATTGGTCTAATCATTTTCTAAAAATACTTTTAGTATCTATATATAGTTAGAAGTTGTATTAAGTATTGTATTATATATTACTAACTTCAGTAATAGATGCTATGCTGGTGCAATATTAGTCAAGATTCTAGACCTCCTTGCAGTACTAAGCTAGAAGTGAAAACAATTGTCAGTAGTATATCCATATATAAAAATAAATATGCTAGGAAGTCTTTGATGCTTATACTATAGACAATACCAACTTTGGTAGTACTATATAAAACAAGTAGTATACTGCAGAGTAACAACTGAAAATTTTAATAAATCTGGCCATGCTTATTTGGAAAAGTTATGGTTTAAGATACAGTTTATGTTACGGCAGCACCTCAAAAGTTGGCTTAAGATATAAACATGATAGCAATAGTATAATATATATTCAAATCAGAGTGGTACTAAATCAAATATAGGGTTATATATACCAATTTGGAAGCAACAAAAGTGAAAAACCATTAAAATGAACCAAACTAAAAAGAAAAGAAAGTTGCTACAGAAAGTTAATAGAGTAACAAGATACTAATAATAATACAGAAAACTATATAAGAAAAGATGAATTACAGTATATGCTAGCTAGAATTTGATTAATAGGGTAATAGCCATTGATTAAATTTTAATATAGCAAAAAATACAACTAAATTGCTTAAAGTGGGTATTATTAGATAGTCTAATATAGCACAACTCAATTTCTGTAATATATAATATGTAATAAGTTTTTAAGTTTTTAATTAATAAAAAATTATAGCATATAAGCAATTTACTAATAAAAGAAAAAAAATTAAAAAAATAAAATATTTTTTTATTTTTAAAAAAAAAAAATTTTACTATTGAAATTATATAAAAAATAATTGATATACCTTCTACCCTTAAATAGTCTGCTTAAAAATTTTACACTATCTGCTATACCTATATTTAATTATAGAAAATACCTATTTAAACTCTTTGGTTATAACTATTGTCTATTACAACTTAACCCAAAATATTGCTTATTATTATTATTTTTTTTAGTATTAAAATAATCTCTATAGCTAGAGACTTTTTATTAGACAATTAACAATGTTTACAATTATTATAAAGGTACAACTAGTCATATATATAACTTTAGTTATTTATTTAAATGATTTGCCCAGGTTTTATACTAGTCACTATATCTGCAATCTAACTAGAAGATTATTTATTTAAACTCTTTAGTCTTTATAAACAAGAGTACAACTAGTTATATATATAATTTTAGTTATTTATTTAAATAGTCTGCTCTAGATTCCACACTAGCTATCATACCTGCAATCTAATTAGAAAATTATCTATTTAAACTCTCTGGTTATAACTAGCTTATCATTCTTTGTTTAACTAATATATAACTCACTATTTATTAACTAGATTTTGTACTACTTATAGGTTTTATACTCTATCTAAAACTACTTTATTCTTAAGATAAACTTAACAAAGTATTATATGTTTTACTTATATATTTATCTATATATTCAGTAACTTTTTTCTAACTAGTACTTGTTGTGTTGCTACTATTGGGTTTGTGTTTCAAGCTATCTTTTAGAATACTGCTATAACCCAATCTGTATCTCAAACCACAACCTTCCTATTTTAGTAGTTAGTTATTTACTTTTTGCTCTTGTATTTAGATTTACACAATCTTAGTACTCTTTTTTTCATCTCTAGATTTTTTACTAGTCTCTCTTTTACTTCTAGCTAGGAACTTGAAAGGGTTGGTTCACTCAAACTATAGATATTTATATGGTTTTTCTTCCTTTGATATATACTTCTAGAGTACATGTCTTTTTTTCTGGTTTGATAACTTGGTAATTTGGCTAGTATGTTTTCTATTTAAAAACCTGGTTACTCAGTTCTCTAATTTTGGTTTCTAGTTTCAAATTTGGTTCTTCTGTAGTACTGTTGAAGATTGTACTATCTTCTAATTCAAAACTTGCTATACAAGTTTTCAGTTATTCTGGTACTTCAGGTTTATTATGCCAAGACCCTATTCTAGATAGTGTAATTGTGCCATATTCACAATGCCACAATTTCTATAAGTAATCCACATTATGTTTCACTATGATCACTTTCTGGTTAACTTATTAAAAAATAATCACACGCATTATGCTAAAATATTTCTAAAACAACCATCTAACTATCAATGATTTAAGCGCTCTAACCCAAATCATCTAACTACTACTGATTTAGTATCTAACTACTAACTATTTAACTACTCTAACCTAACCCTCACACAACAGATAACAACACCAACCAGAGCAACATCCTTGGGCATATATAAGAGAAAAAAAGGAGCATTAATTGCTTGTACATGGGCGAAAAAAAGAAAACTAACAACAAAATTCACTATCAGCAGCGACGAACTGTACTATCGATAAAATTCTCAAGACCACTAAAAACATAAACCAACAGAGTAACATCTTGGGAGCTACATAAAAGAAAAAAAAAAGCGTTAGTTGACTTGTACATGGGTAAAAAAAAAACAAAATCCACCATCAGCAGCAACGAACCATACTACTGATAAAATCCTCAAGACCACCATATTTTACAAAGAAACAACACCAACTAGTACACTATATAAGAAAAAAAGAGAAGTGTTAGTTGATTTGTACATGGGCAAAAAAAAGAAACCTAATGACAAAATTTACTAGCAACGAAGAACTGTACTACTGACGAAATCCTCAAGACTACGTACCTAAGCAACAGAAAAAAGCACTGGCAATACTATGATGACAACGTTGATAATCTTAACTGCTGAACTGTTGAAAGAGATGAAAGAATTTATATATATTAGGATGGGTATTTAATAAACCGGATATATAAAGTAGCACGTGAAACAATCTGGAAAAAGATCTGACAGATGATCATCACCAAATAAGGTGCGATCTGCAATAGCCAAATATAGTATATTCCCTGACTGCAGTAATAAGCATAATAAATGTAGTTATAGTTAAATAGTTAGTTTGTAAGAATCTATTGCATATAAGGTATATAAAGCAAAAAAATTAGTAAATAAAGATTCTTACCTTTTTGTTTAACTGCTTAATAAAAAAACTTCTTCCAAAGTGACTACCATGATTATCAATATGGTTATATTTGGTAGTAGCGGATACGACTTTTTTTTTGATCAGTTATACATTCACCAAGATGCCATTTCACTATGTCACAACAGCAATTTAACGAATTTGTTGAAGCATTTATTAGGAGCCAGGAAACTGTCAATACACAGCTTGCTAAAATCCTTCATCAACAAAACACCCAGACACAAACCGTAACCGAAGGTGTAACTTACATTTATAAACCTCAATATACAAAAGGGTTGTTAGTCCAGTTGCTAGTATTTTATAGCAAACCAGATAAAAATATTATGACTTGGTTACTCCAAGTTGATTTATTGTACAAGGCATGCAAGATTAAAAATAAAGAATGCTTACAGTATATAATAACTAGATTAAAAGATGCAGTGCTTTAGTAAAATCTTAATAAAGTTCAAGCCCATAATGAATAGATGCTATTTGAAAGCTGAAATAATTTTTCTAAAGAAATAAAATTAGCATTTCAACCTCCACAATATTAACAATATTTGAGGCAACAATTAAGAAATATAAAACAAATCTCAACAGTGCAAGAATATGCCTCAAGATTCAGAAACATTCTTGAACAAGTGGAAAGTATGAATGAAGCTGATAAGATCCTCTATTTTATAGAAAAGTTAAAAGCAGCCATCAAAGCTAGAGTTAATTATCGGTCACTAGAAGATTTAGAGGAAGCAATCCGCTTGGCGATGATATATGATATAGCAATGTATGGTGTTAAACACTGAGTTCCTGGGGAACTTAAAAGTAATATTTCAAAAATAGGCAGTTCAGAAGATACAAGCACAGTTCCAATAGAACTTGATAGAACTAAAGCAAAGAAATTTCAAGGATACAAGAAAAAAGTCAATAAAGGTAAAAACACTATAAAAAAAAATGATTTCAAACAAAAAGAGTTATGTTTTAGTTGTAGGCAGAAAAGCTACATAGCAAAGAATTGTTCTAACAAACCTAATTCGAATCCTAGAGCCTCATCAAGTACAAATGCTAATACTGAACAAGTTAGCTTAATTGAACCAAAAGCTAATAATAAAAGAAGAGAAAGACTTTTAAGAGTAAGGAGAAAAATTTATGAAAAAGAAGCCTTAATCTTAATAGATTCTGGTGCTTCCAAAGATTTTATCAACGCACAATTTATAGAAGCACACCAACTGACGATCAATAAAAACTCAAAAGAAAAGTCAGTGGTGGAATTAGCTGACAGGACACCTTGTAAGTCATGAGGACATGTATCAAATATAAAGATTCAAATATATTTATAGAAAGAAAATAAGACACAAATAGAAATATTACTATTGCAAAAATATGATGCAATACTTAAAAAGTCTTGGTTATATGATCATAATCCTTAGATCAACTGGAAGAAAAATGAAATTTCAATATGGAAAGATAATAAAGCCCATAGGATTAGTGCTAGAGCCAGTAGGAAACAAACTAAACTTTCTACAATAGTGATCTCACGACTGCAATTAGCAAAAGACCTTAAACAAAAGGCAGAATTGTTTGTAGTACTAGCCACAACCAAGCTAAAAATAAATAAAGAAAAAGCAAATGTTCCAGATTTCTTAAAAAAGATGGTAAACGAGTATCAAGATGTGTTTCTGGAAGAGCTGCTAAGTAAATTACTCCCAAAATGAACTATCGACTATGAAATTTCTTTTCAAGAAGGTGTGGCACCCCTATTTGGCCCTATTTATAGGTTGTCATTTTATGAATTAAAGGAATTGAAGAAGTAGCTAGATGAAAATATCAAAAAAGAAATAATTCGCCCTAGCTTATTACCTTATAGTGCTCTAGTGCTGTTCGTAATCAAAAAGGAAGGTGCCCTTTATATGTGTATATATTACAGGGCACTAAATAAAATTACAATTAAAAATAGATACCTCCTTCCTTGTATAGACGACTTATTAGATTAGCTTACTAGAGTTATATCTATTATACTTAATTTTGCTTAAAATTATATTTTAATTTTATCTTAAATTATATTTAATTTTGCTTAGAACTACAGGTGCTAAATATTTTAGCAAAATTGATTTGCGTTCTGAATATTATCAAATATGTATTAAAGAAGAGAATATTCTAAAAAGAGGATTTTGTATATATTATAGATATTATAAATTTCTTGTAATATCATTTGGCTTAACAAAAGCTTCAGCTTCTTTTATGCATTTAATGAATAATGTATTCAGTGACTTCTTGGACAAATTCATAATAATTTACCTTGATGATATTTTAATTTATAGTAAGTCACAAGAAGATCACGTAAAACATGTAAATCAAGTATTAGAAAAGCTTCAGAAGAATCAATTATATAAAAAATTAGACAAATATGAATTTGGAAAGACCAGTGTAGAGTTTTTAAAATATATAGTATTATCAAAAGGGCTTTTAACAGACTCTAAAAAATTAGAAGCTATAAAGACTTGAACAGTACCTAAAATATTCATGAACTTCATTTATTTTTAGGGTTAATAAATTTTTATAGAAAATTCATACCTAATAGTTTCAAATTAGCTACACCTCTTACAAGTCTTTTGTATAAAAATCAACCATATAAATGGGAATTGAACAGGATTAGACATTTGAAGGATTAAAAAAGACACTTACTGTTGCCCCAGTATTGGCAATACCTGATCTCCAAAAGCCATTTATAGTAACAACCGATGTATCTGATCTTGCAATAGGTACTGTGTTAAGCCAAGATCAGGGAAATAGTGAATAGCCAGTAGCATATGAATTATGAAAAATGACTCTAGCTGAAATGAATTACCCAATTTATAAAAAAGAACTTTTAGCTGTAATTCATATACTAAAAGTATAAAAAATTTATTTGAAAGGACAGCCTTTTACAATCATCACTGATTATGCTTCACTTGAATTTATAAATTCTTAGTCAAAATTATCACAATAACAAGCTAGGTGGGTGGAGACATTGCAATCATATAATTTTAAAATAAAGTATAGACCCAGAAAATTTAATATAGTAGCTGACACATTATCTCAAAAATTGGAAACTAATATAATTTCAACTATTCATGTTAATCCTGAGTTTTATATACAATCCAAGAAGAATATATAAAAAATGAATATTTTAACAAAATAATCAATGCCTTAAAGAAACCTAGTAGTGGTAATGCTAAACAATTGAAGCACCAAATATATTGTTATCGACTAGAAGAAAACAGGTTATTATATTTAGTAGAAAATTCAAAAAACTCCTAACTGTGTATAACTTATATATCTAAAATGAAAGTAGGAATAATTTATGAATATCAAGATGTTAACGGGCATTCAGAAGTAGACTACATATATAGCAGTTTACAATGGCTGTATTATTGGAAAAGGTTAAGAAAAGATATTAGAAAATATATAAATAGCTATGAAAGCTGTCAAAAAAATAAAGCATCAAGTAAGGTGCCTATAGGATTATTACAACTATTGAATATCCTGAAACAATACTAGAAACAAGTTTCAATGGATTTTATAACACACCTACTAGCCACTAAAAAAGGCTATAATGCCATTATAGTAGTAGTCGATCACTTTAGCAAAAGAGCACACTTTATTTCTATCTGCTTAACTGTTACAGTGCCAAAAGTTGCAAAACTTTACTTTCAGGAAATATTTAAATATCACAGGTTATCACGTGGTATTGTGTCTGATCAAGATCCAAAGTTTGTGAGTAACTTCTGGAAAGAATTATTCAAGTTGTTAGAAACAAAATTGTATATATCTTCTACTACACATCCACAAACAGATGAACAAATGAAATGTACAAATAGAATATTAGAAGATATGTTATGAGCTTATATTAATTATCATTAAGATAACTGGATCTAGCTATTACCAGCCACAGAATTTGTATACAACAATGCTTAACAATCATCAATGGGATTCACTCTATTTCAACTTGATTACAATTACTATCCTATAACCTCTAGCACCTTAGCAGCAAGAGTATTAAATAATATAAAGGTGAAGATAGCATATGATTTATATGAATACTGGACTACAACAATAAAAATGGCAAGAGATACTTTAATTGCAGTGCAAGAAAGACAAGCAAAATATTATAATAAGACCTATAGAAATGTTAAGCTACAAAAAGGAGAGCAAGTAATGCTCTCAACACAACACTTTACATCAGTAACAGATTCAAAGAGAATTTTAAAAAAATTGATTTCAAGATTTATCGGGCCATACAAAATTAAGAAGAAAGTGTCAACAACTACATACAAGTTATCTCTGCCACCGCATATGAAAATTCATCCTGTGTTTCACATCTTCTTATTAAAACTATATATATCTAATGAATTCAAAGGAAGAAATAAATTATCACCACCCCCTAAATTCTTTGAAGATTTAAATTCAGAACCTGAATTTAAAGTCGAAGAGATCTTGGATAAATGAACGTACTCATCATGAAATTTTTTAAGTAGATTTATAGTGATATATAACACATAATCAATTTACATTGATTAAAATTAAACGTTATATATTGATTAACTTGTTATAAATTGATATATATCAAAAATCAATTATTAATAATAAGGTCATGCAAAATTAATTAATTGGTTTTTATAACCTGGCTAGGTCAAAATTTGAAAACTTCTAAAAAAAATTTTTTATATATTTTAGTAACTGAGTGGGTTTTAAAAAAATTTTTTTTATATAAATTTTATAAAATGTTATATATGAAATTTAAAAAAAAAAGCTGGCTAGCCGGGTTTATTTTTAAAATTCATGTTATAAAAACCAAGTAATTAAATTTGTATAGCCTAATAGAAATGAAATCAATATAGATCAAATTATCAATTATTATCGAACTAACCAAAATTGCAATATATCAATCATTACATTATTAATCGATAATTAGCATTATGTTATACTTTAGTTAAATATACGTAGAACTTCAATAGATATACGCTTTAAATATTAGATATACACTTTAAATATTAGAACATAAAACTGTTTACTAAATATTCATTTATTTTTTCAAATCTTGCAACTATATATATGGTTCTATCCATACTATCTAAAGGTATACAACTATATTGTTTAATTAATTTTAATTTCAGACAGCATCATAGTTTACCATCTACATTATACCAACAAACAAGAGTGAGTTCTAACAGATCTTTGTCTATTGCTTGGTAAAACTTAAGTATCAACAAAATCTTATAAATAATATTTTTATATATATTAGTATATATTACTCACAAGTTAGAGAATATTTCATCACTTACAGTCATTATTATCATTATCGTTATTTATTGTTAAATGCATTAGAATATGTGTAAAACAATTAAAATAAAATCAATACTTACCAAGCTATACCAATTTACTTCATTTCCTTGATTATTAAGTACACTTACTA